GACAAGACTGGTGCTCCTGTCGAGGCTCTGGTCGAACTATGGAATGGGGAGATGACTAGGGCTGTTGACACGATCGCTCCTAAGCGTCCTCTCCCGCCAGGCAGAGCCCACTCTTCCCCTTGGTATACACCTGAATTGCGGGCGATGAAGCAGGCTGGGAGATGGCTAGAGCATAGGTGGAGGAGATCACAGGATGAATCTGACCGAACACACTTAAGAGCCCATTATCGGGCCTATGCTGTGGCGGTGAGGGCGGCGAAGAAGAAATTCTTCTCCGTTTCCATTGCCTTCTCAAAATGCCGTCCGGCAGAGCTTTTCTGAGTGGTACAAGGGCTGCTCCACCCTGGCCCCAAGAAAGATCTGGTTCCACCCTCGAAGGCCCGCTGTGACGACTTTGCCATGCATTTCAGGGAGAAAATCGCTCAGATTCGTCACGAGCTAGACTCTACTAGTTATTCAGAGGCTTCTGGGGAGATACCAATGTCGCCGTCTGGTCCAAAATTAAAGGATGAATTTCAGTTATTGCGGCCTGATGATGTGGACAAGGTGCTTGGACGAGTACGTCCCACCACTTGCCTATTGGACCCTTGCCCATCTTGGTTAATAAACAACGCCAAGCACGGGATTGGGATCTGGATCCTGGAAGTGGTTAACGCTTCTCTGAGGGAGGGTCGGGTACCTGCCCCTTTAAAGGAGGCGGTAGTCCGACCGGTCCTGAAGAAAGCATCACTGGATCCAGAGATGGCCACTAATTATAGACCAGTGGCCAACATCCCGTTTCTGGGCAAGGTGTTAGAGCGGGTGGTGGCGGGACAACTCCAAGCACTCATGGATGAAACTGATTATCTGGACCCATTTCAGTCCGGCTTCAGACCCGGGTACGGTACTGAATCTGCCTTGGCCGCCCTGTACGATGACCTGTGCAGGGAGAAGGACAGGGGGAGTGCGTCCCTGTTGGTTCTCCTGGACCTCTCAGCGGCTTTCGATACCATCAACCATGGTATTCTTCGGGATAGGCTAGCGGGATTGGGGGTCGGAGGCACTGCTTTGCAGTGGTTCCACTCCTATCTCAACGGCCGATTCCAGAAGGTGGTGCTGGGGGACTATGGCTCTGCACCATGGCAGCTATGCCATGGAGTACCGCAGGGATCCATTTTGTCCCCTTTGCTGTATAACGTCTACATGAAACCACTGGGAGAGGTCATCAGGAGGTGTGGGCTGTGGAATCATCGGTACGCTGATGATACCCAGCTCTACCTCTCGTTTTAGACCAATCCAGGTGAGGCAGTGGCTGTGCTGAACCGGTGCCTGGCCAAGGTAATGGGCTGGATGAGGGCCAATCAACTGAAGCTCAATCCAGACAAGATGGAGGTCCTGTTGGTTGGCGGATCGGGCTTTGGGGAGGGTGAATTGAACCTAGTCCTGAATGGGATTGCACTCCCTCTTAGGGACAAGGTTTGCAGCTTGGGAATGCTCCTTGATCCAGAGCTTTCACTGGAAGCTCAGGTGACAGCGGTGGCGAGGAGCGCTTTCTTTCAGCTTCGGCTGATCCATCAGCTGTGCCCCTACCTGGAGTATGACTGCCTGGCGACAGTGACACACGCGTTAGTGACTTCCCAACTTGACTTCTGTAACACGCTTTACGTGGGGCTACCCTTGAAGACGGTCCGGATACTTCAATTGGTTCAAAATAGAGCTGCCAGGCTGCTGACGGGAACTGGACGTTATGCTCACATGACTCCAGTCCTCCGTCAGCTTCACTGGCTTCCCACTGAAGTCCGGGCCCAATTCAAGGTGTTGGTGATGACCTATAAAGCCCTAAACGGCTTGGGTCCTGGCTACCTGAACGAGCGCTTACGTCCATATATGCCCGCCCGCCCCTTGAGATCTGGAGGAGAGGCCCTTCTCCGGGAACCCTCCATGAAGGAAATTAGGAGGGTGAGTACTCAGAGGAGTGGCGCCCCATCTATGGAATGCGCTCCCCAGAGAGGTCCGCCTGGCGCCGTCGTTATTTGTTTTTCGGCGCCAGGCGAAGACCTTTTTATTCAAATGCTATTTTAATTGTTAATATTATTTATTCATTTTATTCTTTGGCCAGGGCGACTTAATTTATATTGTTAATTTATATTATTCTATTGAAGTTTATTTATGGTTGTGAGCTGCCCTGAGGCTTCGGCGAATGGGGCTGCATAGAAGTCTCCTAAATAAATAAATAAATTAAAAAACCATAAGAATATTTGAGTTGTACATTTGTAATTGGAATGGATTTTTCCCCTCTTTAGACTAAGGAGTTTATTGATGGGAGTTTACAAACTGGAGGTATGTACCCTTGATTCTCTACCTCTCTAATTTATCAAATGCATATTACAGATAAGTTTCTTTCTCAGTCTGAGTGTTTATAGAGATGAACTGCATTGGGTGAATATAGTTAGTCACGAAATGGGATATATTATGTTATATGTATATCTTAGTATATTACAAACACATCAAAATGAATATTTCCTGTTACAACTTGAGTTAACCTTCTAATCCCCAGGGCAGCTTTCATGGTCAAATAATGATGCCTTCTGGGAACTGATTGACTCTTATTGTAGGGTGCATAGTGATCGACAGAAAGGTGCTTTCCAGTTCAGCCTTCACTGCCCAATTCCTTAGAGGGTCATTCGGGTAGATCCTAAAATGATATAGAAGCCTTCCTTTGGCTAGTCAGAAAGAAACAGAGTTGCCCAACCTGGCATTTTCCCGGGGGATGGGATGGTCTGAAAAGGTTTGTGCTCATTTTGCTGCTTATTTGCAATCACTAGTGGTTATGCTAATAGTTTAGCCGAGTGTTGATATGCGAGATTGTGTCTTGTTTGAGTTACGTATTTTCAGAACATATTTATATAGAGGATTTATGTTCCACCTTGCTCAAGTGATCTTCAGGACCGCTCATACTGGATTTTAAGGCGCACCCAGCAGCCGTCCCGAATCTGCTGGGTCCCAGCAGCAGAGGCTGGCGCACGTCTCCCTCTTGAGCAGCCGGAGCGGGGTGCGGGCGCAGGTGCTTCTTTGGGTGATGCGCACGCCACCCTGGCTTCTTTCTCCCTTGCCTTAGAGAGGCCATTTGTGCATCTCACTCTGGACTGAATGGTGGGGTTCAGGTTCAGTGCTAAAGACGCAGGAGTGAACGACTGTGTGAGTTCTGTTTGGCTTGCGCAAAGCAACTCTCTCTTTTTTCAGGAAAAGTTCTTGTCCACGGGAACGCAGGGATTTCTAGAAGGTAACCACGTTCACCGTGCTGCTGTTTTCGGGATCTGTAAGGTCTGGCTGGCGCCCTTGACTTGACTTCTTTGTTTCTTTCAGTGCTGCCTTAGTGATTGCGTACATCATGGAGACATTTGGAGTGAAATACAGGTAAGGAAGGACCCTCAGCTGCTTCACACCCTTTGGGATCAACTCACTTATGAAGCACACGCTCCTCATGTTCCGTCCCTGGTGTCTCCAGGTAAGGCACCTCTCGGAAGCACTGGAGAGCTGCCGGACGTCCATGTCGAGCTGGATTAAATAAACAGTGCTCAGATGCCATATAGGGCATCAATTTTATTTATCTATTTAAAAGTTTTATACCCCATCCTATACATAAAAGTTTCAGGACAGTCCAACAACAAAGGCACAGCATAATATCAATGATAAAAACCTGACTAAAATAAAAATTAGGTCTTAAAATTATGGGAAAATAAAAAGGTTTTGGCCTGGTACCAAAAAGAATATTTTTTTCAACTAATAGGCTGTGGTTGTGGCCAAAATGGGGTTCCTAAGTATCTAGCTGGGAAGGAAGGAAGGAAGGAAGGAAGGAAGGAAGGAAGGAAGGAAGGAAGGAGCATAAATGCCTAAGCTGTTGTTACTGTGTATTTTTTCAAGGGAGAAGACCAAAATATTTCTTAAAGCCCAATACATCTGCATCTATTACAAGCAGACTGACAGACTTGAAAATACCATATAGCAGCAGGCAGGACTGGGAAGAACGGCCAAGCCTGCGCGGCTGTTTTTTCTCTGTGCCATTATAAGCGCCACTCCTGGTCCTTCCCCCTTTGCAGGCGCTGTGGCTCCGGACGGGGTCATGCGCAGCAGCGGCAAGGCTTCCCGGAACGGACCCACTGCTCTGGTAGCCGTGGCAGATGGCCGCCCAGAATAGCAGTCTCCCCAGTCTGTCCCCAGAGTTCGAAAGAGAGATCGGGCAGCCTGGTGCAGTGAGCTTGTCTCCGGCAGCCTGGCTGGAGTCATACCAGAGTTCGGCCCCCAGCTCGGGGCCGGGTATGGCTGCCTTGTGCTGCGCCAGGCCGTTGGTCCCTCTTGCCCGGGCCGGCCACAGCGAGGTGACTCGGGTTTTCCGTGCCCTTGAGCGGCAGGCGCTCGCAGGCCGGTGCCCGAGGCCCTTTGTGAGTACGGTGCCGGGTGGAACATGGGACCTGATCTGTGCGATCTGGGCTCCCTGAGCTTTGCTCCGTTGGAGCGCACCAGAACATTAAAGGACAGTTAAAAAGACCCATCCAAGAGATAAAGGGCATCTGGCTAATGGTCTTATGGTTTGAACACAGTCAATGCCCAGATAGTCAGTTGCTTTAGAGTGTCTGTGGGATGAATACAAACATAGCCAAGCTAAAAAGGCGCACACAGTGAGAAACTGAGTCAGAAACTAAATGCAAACTGCAATTAATCGGAGATGAAAAAAGCATATTCTTTTTCTTGAAGGGATGCATTTACATATGTACAAGAAAGAAGGTTTTGTATTAATCCCAATGCTGGATTTGTTCATCAACTTCAGGTGAGTCATTGCCCTACCTGTTGATGCAGATGATTGCCTTACTGATGGCCTCAGAAACCCTGGTGTTATCCAGGTATCGGAAAAGTGTTCATACTCCTTATGACCGTGGGTGTTACTTTTTTGTATTACTGGTATTCAGCTTTTTCTTGCACACTGCCTGTTTGGAGGGCGTGAGCAATTCTAGCCGGATCGCATGCATGAAATGCACAAGGCAGAACACTTCCGTGTGCAAATCAGGGCCTCATGAACGCAGTCCAGGGTGCACGTGATTCTGCAGTGTCTGGGTCAGCACCGTTGGTCTCGTGGGAGGCCCTGTGGCCGCCCTCTGTGGGGCACCCCGCCTGGCTTCTGCGACTGAGCTTGCAGGGGGTGGGCGGGCGTTAGGAGCTCCCCGAGTCTCATTCCCCAGCATTCTGTCACGCCCTGCGCCACGTCTCTCCTGGAGAGCATGGTGACGGCCTGCTGCCGGTGCAGGTGGTCCAGCTCTGAACCGAGGGAGCACGCAGAACGCCGCCTCCCCGGTTCTTTGGTACTGAACTAGTTTAAGCACAGGAGAAAAGCCTTGCCGGATCAGCCCCAAGGTCCTTCCAGTCCAGCACCCTCTTCCAGTGCCCACAGGAGCCCTTGAGCAGGAAGGGTGCAAGGCCTGCTACCCAAGCTTCTCAGCAGCTGGGGAGGGCAGGCCTGTAGGAGCCACCGTTCGCCTCCCCGCTCCCAAATCCGCCCAGTCCCCTTCTGAAGTCACCCAACGGGTGGCCCTCACCGCTTCCTGTGGCAGTGAGTTCCACAGTGTCACTGTGCACTGTGAGAGGGAGGACTTCTTTCTGTTTCTCTCCACATCTCACCTCCGTCTCCTGCAACAGCCCCACCTTCACAACGGTTAGCGTCTGTGTTCCCTCAGCGCTCCTTTTACCCTTTCTTGCTCAGGGCCCCGCAGTCCAGGTGAATTCCTGCATATGTAGTCACTCCGACTCCATTTGTTTCAGGAATACGAAGCCATCTATCTAGCAAAGCTAACTATTCAGATGATGTCACCTCGGCAGCTAGAGCGATCACTGTCTGTTACTGCAGGTGAGCAGGTGTGCCCCACCTCTTTCTGTTTCACCGTCAAAAGCCCGGTCATGTGTCCTTGGGATTCATATCCGCTGCTGCTTCGGGAGGGAATCCCCTTGCTCACAACTACTTGCAAAGTCAATTGCAAGAAGACTTGGCATCTCCGTGCCGATTTGTGCCATGTGTTCACTTTTGGGTATCAGAGAAGTCACAAAATAACACAAGAAGCCTCGCAATATGGTTGGTTGAGTACGACACGAACCAGGACGGCATCCGTCTCACATTGGACGGAATCTGTGGGACTTGTGCACCATCTGCAGGATGCTTAATGATCGTGTAGCCGACATGAGTTCGTTCAGATACAGGAAAAGGGGGGTCGGGACTGGATGCACAGCGAGCCAGCAAGTGGTGCCTCGGCTCACGGACGCCTCGGTTCATGACCAAATCGGGCCGCGAACAAAAATTTCAGGAAGACGGGTGCGATCACAGGCACGCTCCTGCAGGAAAGGCGGGCGCACTCTCGGCCATCTCCCCCCCCCCCCACAACCAGCACGATCATGGCCATCTCCCCACCGCCCCCCCCCCGAGTGGGGAGATGGCAGCGATCATGCTGGGGGCGGGGGGGGGGGGGGGGGGGGGGTTTGGCCCGCCTTTCCCCCCCCCCCCCCCAGTGCGCCGGGATGATGGCGCATGTAGGGATCTTGGTCGGGCTGTGGGGGGGGGGGGAGATGGCCGTGCTCTGGGGGGGGGTCGTGAATGTTGTTGTTCTTTGTCACTTTGCTTCACGTTTTTCTGATTAAAAAAAATGGTTACAGAACAGATTAACCTTATTTACAGTGACCCTTATGGGAAAATTTGGTTTGGCTAACGACCAGTTTGGGTCACGACCAGAGTCCTGGGACGGATTAAGTTAGTGAGCCGAGATACCACTGTACCTTGCAAACTATCTTGTGTTGCATGCACATGTAATAAACAAGTACTGGTACATTTAAAATGGGCATTTCCTTTTTATATAAACAAATCTTGGATATCTCCGTTATCGTTGTAAATGGAATGCAGGGTGGAGCTTTTTTTAAAACTCTCCAAGCATTTGGACAAAACCAAAGCATTGTGCAGCATTAGCTCAGGTTCCTCTCAAACGAATCCTGCTTTCTTTTGGGAAACTTCTGTTGGCTTTTGGCTGGCCTCTCCAACTTCCCTCCATGTTTTACAGGAAGTCTGAAGCGAACTCATGAAGAGGATGAAGAAATAGGCAACTTGCCAGCAGCCGCTCAGAATGGTTGACACTGAGAGCATCTTGGACTTGCTACTCATGGCAGCTGCTAATCTCAGCAAGATGAACAACCAGATCTAATTTTTAAAAATGGGAGACGAATCCAACTTTCTTATGCAAACCTGTCCTCCAGTAGTACACCAGGCAACATTTTTAAGGTATTGGATTCCTTGACTGACTAGATGGCACTGATTGTTTTACTCCTCCTTTTTTTTTTTTTTTACACTTTATAGTTTTACCCTAAACCAAGACTTTGGACTTGCAAAGAGGTATTATTGCAATAATGCACTTTTCATACTTGAAATTTATTTGTATTGATAAAGTTATTACTTAAGCAAAACATGAGTTTGGGGGGATGATTTGTTTATAAAGTTTTGTGTAATTTATAACAAGAGTCTTTAGTAAAAAAAAAAAAAAAAAACAAAAGGAAAAAAAGAAACAATTGCATAAAACTCACTGTGGATTGTATTTGTTTCATTTTCTGAGTTTAGGCTTCAAGCAGAAGAAAACGAGTTTTAGCAAATATCAGAATTTTTCGCTGTGACGAAGAAGTGAAAACACTCAGTTCAAGTCTCACTGAAATGGTAATCATAATTAAAAACGTAGAGGTCTGGAGAATTTTCTTCCAGGTCCTCACATCTTTAATCATAACAGAAAACAGAAGGCCAAAAGCCCATTTTAAGACTTAAATTTCATCCTTCCTTCAACTTCTCCCTCTCCCCCTTCCCTCCCCCAATACCGAAATCTTTGGACCTGAAATTTCAGGCAATAGCTATGTTGATTTTTAAAAGTCCCCACTATTGCTTCCCCTAATTTTTCTGTGCACTTGCACGCCCAAATAGAGTGGGGTTGAGATTCTTGGAGTGGGACCAGCTGCCACAACAGGAAAACCAGTAACAAGATCCCAGCGTCCCTCCTCTTAATGACCACAGTTTGAAGCATTGATTCTGGCCAGTGAGCCAGAGGCAGGACAGTCGGGTGCAGAGTTATGCGTTGCTTCTACTGACGTATGAACCTAATAAAAACAGAATCCGAAAATGTTGCAGACAAAAGTTTCACGGATCTGCTCTTTGCTTCTGTTGGAACTGGAAAGGTGGGGTCTGCTAATGAGATGCTGTGGTCCTGCATCTGTGACAGAGATGAATTCTATGTAATTTTATTGAGCTGGAGGAAATAGGAGCCTCGAGCTGCCAAGGAGGGAGCAAGGAGACCAGACCAACACTGCCAGCCTTGTGATACGGCTGCACAAGAGCAGAGGAATCTCATTTACTGATCTCACCTCTCCAGTAGAAGCGATGAACAGAAGCATGGGATTTATTTATTTTTTGCTGTTGTATATTCTTCTTTTGGTTACTGAAAGAACAGTATTACTAAATAAAGCCTAATGGGCTTTGTTGTAGCTGAGTAATGTGATAACTGTAAATTCTCAGCCTTAGTGACAAACTGAAAGTTAGCTAGGCACCTGGTCCAGATGTTATCTATCCTAGAGTTTTCTATGAACTCATGCGTGAAATTGCTCACCTTCTTACCGAAACATCACTAAAATGAGGTCTTGTACCAGAGGATTGGCATATGGCCAGTGAAACATCAAATCGTTAAAAGGGGTCTGGGAAAATACAGACCAGTTAGGTTCATATCTGTTCCGGACGAACTGCTTGAAAGCATGACTAAATACAGAATCAGCAACCACAGAGAGAGACAAGCCCCGCTGGAAAAAAGAAATCAGCACGGCTTTGGTCTTACCTGTTGGAGTTCTTTCAAGTGACAGTAAGCACATGAACGGGGGTGATCCAATAGGCACTGTTTACTTGGCCTTCCAAAGGGCTTTTGAGAGTCCCTTCCCAGAGGTTCCTGAGTAAGTTAGGCAGTTGTGGAATGGAGGGGGGGGCGGATCCTATGGATCAGTAACTGGTTGAAGAACAGGAGGAGGTGAGAATAAGTGGCAATTTCTCCCAATGGAGAGCTGTCACCAGTGGTTTCCCAAAGGTATTTGTATTGGGACCAAAGCCTTTCAACTTACTCATAAATTATCTGGAATTAGAAGAGGGTAGAGAGGTGGCCAAGCCTGCTGATGACACGAAACTTTTTAGGGTGGTTAAAACCAAAAGGGGTTTTGAGAAACTCCAACGAGATCTCTCCAAGCTGGGAGAAAGAACATCAAAGTGGCCAGTGCAGGTCAATCTAAGCAAGTTTAGAGTGATGCTCGTTGGAGGCAAAAAAATTCCAACTTCAAAAATCCAACTTTCAAGTATTGGCTGATGGGATCTGAGCTGGCAGTGATTGAGCAAGGAAGGGGTCTTGGGGGGGGAGGGGGCAGCTCAATGGAGATGTCATCCCAATGTTCAGTTGCTGTGAAGAAGGCCAACTCCATTCCAGGCATAAAAAGAAACAACAGAAAACAAAGCTGCCAGAATTTTACTTCCGATACAGATCTTTGCTGCCACCACACTTGGAATGTTGTGTCCAGTTCTCGTCGCCTTACCTGAAAAAGGACACCTCTGAGTTGAAAAAAGTGCGGAGAAGGGCGACCAAAATGATCCGGGGGCTGGAGCAGCAGCCTCAACTGGGACTGGCCGGCTTGGCAAAAAGGCAAGGAAGGGGAGACACGGAGGGGCCTAAATTAATGCACAGTGTGGAGGAAGGGGAGCGGGAGACAGTTTTCTCCTTTTCCCACAACACTTGAACCCAGGGTCATCCCATGCAGCTGATGGGTGGGAGATTTAGCACAGATAAAAGGAAGTCCTCTACACAGTTTGTGTCAAGGAATTTACCGCCACAGGAAGTGGCACAGGTTGCCACTTCCAAAAAGGAATCAGACAGATTCAATGGGGGGGGCGGGGGGGGGGGCTGTCAGTGGCTGCTGGCCTTGCTGGCCATGGGCTCCCTCCTTCACCAGAGGTGGCCTGGCTGCATAGCCCAGTCGCTGAGGAGCTGGGCAGGCCGAGCTCTTGCACCCAAACTGCTGGAGGGATCCTGCGAGCAGCTGCTTAGCCACCCTGTGGGCAGAGTGGTGGACTTGATGGTCTTTGGTCTGATCCAGGATGGGTGTTCTACTCTACTTGGCTGAAGATCTGAGCCCAGAAGAGACTTTTTCCCCCAAAGTAGACTTCTGCTCTTACCCCCATTATACTGTTGGCTTGGAGCCAGAGCAGCAGCAGCTGGAGAGGTTCCTGCCCCACTTCCTACAGCAAAGATTCTTCTGAATGGGGTACTGTGGGGCATTGTTAGTACCTTGGAACCAGTTTTCTTTTCGCCCCTCCAAAGGAGAACAGAAGACAGGCGTCCTCTCCTTGTGTGCATTTGGCAGGCAGCTTTCTGTTTTTGGGGTAAGCACCGGTGAGACTTGTCTGGTTGCTTCCCATAATTCTCCCAATTATCCTGCCAGTGCTATAGATGGCATCCACTCCCACCACGCACCCTTCCCGTCCTCTGCCGACAGGCCTGTGGTCACCTGAGTCCCAAGCCTTCTGGGAAAAGGGGAACATGGTTCCTTTTCTTACCCAGAATGTTAGAGGACACCTGCATGTTCTGCTTTATTTTTCTCTGCAAGGTTACTGCTAAGATTTAGCCTCTTACCCAGGTCTTTCAGCCTTTCCTCATAGAACAGTTTCTAGTCTGATCACCTTTGCATTTGTTCCAATTTGCCTGAATCCTTCTTAAACAGCAGGTTCCAGAATTGGACACCAGTGGTCTGACCGGTCAGCACAGAGCTATTTACTGCAAGGTCAGTCTGGCAGATGAACATTTAGTAGTTCCGGCAAAGATGTATAGGGAAGAGCAACATGTTTAATTACTGTCAAGCTACAGGTTCTGAAAGAATCATAATAGATTGACCATATCTGTTCTTTTCTGGGTTAGCTTAATTACTCTCACTATCTACAGAGACACCAAATCATATATAAGCTTTAATTCAAGTTATGATTATCCTTCAGATTCATGTAACATCAGAGAAGCATGGTCATACTATCAGTTCCAGTACTATTAATTGACCTAAATGAATGAGCTCCAATAGCACTGTGCAAACCACAAGATATAGGAGTTAAATAGATGGCCAGTCAGAATACATATGGATCTAATGAAAAAGGAAACAATATGTTAAATTCAAAAGATTTATTAACATAACCTCTCCCAAGTTTACGATTTTTTAAAAAACTGAATAAATAAAGCTTCCTCCAAGAAAGTTAAAGTACCACAAAACATTTGAAATGGAACAGCCACACCAATTTACAGTAGCTTTTTGTGGTTCAGTAATATTTGTAAAGCGAACTAGTCAGCTACAAAATTCTTAGTACCCTTCGTTGGCTTTTAATGCCCTGAAACTACACAAGGACAACCCCCTTCCAGTTGAAATGGCAGGAGGTGTGTTGTACATTTATTGCCAAATAAAGTTATCACAAAAGAAATGTGAAAGCATAAGAAGCCTGCAAGAGAAGGATTTCAGATGTGTCAATTTCACCGAATGGATCGATGTGGCATTTGCAGAGCACGTGGCGTGCCGTGACACTCCGCCTTTCCACCATTCCATGCGTTCTAGTATCCTGCTCCTCAAATATATTTTCAAATATGGGAAATTTTCATGTCAAACATTTGCTTCATGTTGAACTCGGGGCAGTCTGGGATACTGAGCAGCATCAGCTCAAACCCGTGGCGATTCTTTGCGTCGTCATTTCTACCAACTGTGATCACAACAGGGACCAGTCAGAACACTCAGGTGACTGTGCGAGAAGACAGCGCTCTTCTGGGGCCAATGAAATTCTGAGTTGAGTTAATGTGACAACTACATCTGGCAGACTTTGGATTTCTCATTCTTGCAAGACAGTAAAAATGCGTGAATCAGTCCTAGCATTACTTTCTCTGGCTGCCAGGGGCAAAAAAAGCAGCATAACACTTGTAAAAATACAAGGCGAGAAAAAGTATCAGGTAAAAATAGACCTTTGGCTAAAAACAATCCCTACCTTGAAATATTTGCTCTTGTCCCAGCTAGCAAAAAAGCATCTAATAGGCTTCACAGTGGCCAGGGAAACCTAAAACAATTAGTCTGCGGTATTTATTTGTTGTCCCATAACTAGAGGTAATCACTTCATTTGCAGCAAATTTAATTTCTTTAAAGAGAATGAAGGCAGTAGCACAAGTTCCTCCACCGACAGTCCATTACAACAGAAATTACAGCTGCAAGGTCTTTAATTGAAGAACCTTTGAGACATGTAGTTTTCCTCAGAAACTGAATACCCAAATTTTGTATAGAATGCTACATTCTTTGGCAGACACTCCAGAGTAATTTTGTAGCAATTCAGCCTCTTGCTCAGCAGTGTAAGAGTGGACATCAACCTAGAAGAAGAGAATTCATAAACAGTATGAATAATGAAATAAAAGCATGATCCTGAGGAGGGGCAAGGCTACTGTTTCAGCAACCTGGGACCACCACGTCCGTGCTCCACAACTACCCCCAGCCCCAGCGGGTCTGCCTGGACAGCTCTTGGTCTCATCTCAGGAAGAACAGGCGTGGGGCGGAGCTGTCGTGAGAAGGAAGTCTGAACAAATGTGCACCGTGAGACCGGTGCGTTTTGTGCCTAAGTGAAAATACGAACTGGGTTTCCCCACCCATAATCCCAGTACTCAGTTGTTGAGTCACGTTTAGCAGTTCAGGAGTTAAAAAGATGAGGTGCAAAATCTCCTTCAAAGCCCAGCCTAATTACAAATTCACCAGGTGCCCTAATTACAAATTCACCAGGTGAAATGATTTCTCAACCTTGCCTCACACAACCTACCCTGTGGCGCTAACACTGGCCGACTGACAGGTTTGTTCTAAAGATTACTAAAGATTAGGGTTTAACTAGTTTGAAGATATTTTAGTGTTTTACTAGTTTAAAGATGTAAAGATAAAGGGCTTACTATTTTACTAGTTTAAAGATTGTGAGTTAGGCACTTGACAAGTGCTGTGGAAACGGCACTACACAGTGTTCTGTGAGAAGGGCAACGCTACGGAGTGTGTTTTCGGGACCCAAACGCCCTTTGTGATTCGCACACAGAAATGTGGTGAGCAAAACGGAGGTTCCTGTGCCTCTTTGTCAAAGGATGTTGGGAAGTCATACCCATGAATAACTACTTACAGTTTGCCAAGCTGTTTTCCTCGACACTCCCCACTTACGACGACATCTTCTATTCTTCCCCTCTGAAAACAGACACCATTTAATCACGGAGTATCAGGAAGTACTAAAGCTCAGTTGTTAGAATACATTGTCTCAGCAAACATACCTTTGCACAGGAGTGCGTGAATTTATGCTCTATGACTAAAGTTGCCGTAGCCACAATTTCCTGTAGTTTCGTATCTTCCACAACGGTCACATAGTAGTCCCCAGAGTTCTTCATGCGTTCAAATGTTTCTGTGGAATGCCAAGCCCACAGGATTGCTGTCGTTAAATACACCCCTGCTATTCTTGCCCGGCTCTGTGTGTATCCATGCAAGTGGTACCCAGGATATACTAGTCCCAACTGGGGCAGGCAGATGAACAGGATACGTGGGGATGCCTCCCTGTTAGGCAAGCAACTGCCACGCACAGCTGACATGGTGGACAAACTCACAGGTTAGCCAAGAAGCAGGCCAGGCAATGGCCTCCGTCACTACCTAAACCTTCCTTCCACCCAGAGGACATGATTTCTGGAGCTTTCTGAGAAAGCATTTGTTGTTGTTAGTCATGAGGTTGCGTCCGATTCATCACGACCCCATGGACAACATTCCTCCAGGCCCTCCTGTCCTCCATCATCCCTCGGAGTCCACCCAAGCCCTCACCCACCACCCCAGTGACCCCCTCCAGCCACCTCATCCCCTGCCGTCCCCTTCTCCTTTTGCCTTCAATCGTTCCCAGCATCAGGGTCTTCTCCAGTGAGTCCTTCCTTCTCATTAGGTGGCCAAAGTATTTGAGTTTCTGAAAAGCATAGCCAATTCTTGCTGTTCCCCTTTTCCAAAGAGCAAAAAACATCAAGATACTCACTGATGAATTGTTCAGGGCTGACAATTCCAGTTTCAGTCAGCTGACTCAAAACTTTTAAAAAGCCTGTAATAAAAAGGATGGTTTCCATAAATCAGGGCAAGCATAAACCTCATTACTCCAGCATTTCAAATATAGATGCCAAAAGCAGCATGTATTTCACTATTCAAACAATTTGTGAAACAGAGTGATTTAAGAAGCCGCTGCATCCCCACTGAGCATGGTTTCCACGTGCAGCAAAATAGGAAAGATCTTTAGGCTTGAACACAGGCAGTAGTGATAACTAGGAAGCGGAGTAATTTCAGCAATGCAGAAAGGGTAGCTGAGCTCCCCTATCAAAAAGCAACCGCCCTGCTCCTTCCTGAATGCGTTTATGCACTAAGCCTGGCTTAGGCTCCTTGCAACGCTCCAGATGTTTTTGTCTATAATTCTTACTGAATAGCATAGCCAATGCTGAGGGATCATGGGAGCTTTCATTCAAAATATCGGGAAGGTCACAAACTACCCAGTCCTAGGCTGTGGGGTACCACATACAAGCCATATTGTCAGTTTATTACACTTAAAAGCCACTTTTCCTATTCTGTAACTTAAAAAAAAAAATTCATGAGTGGCTCACATCTTTCTCCTCCTGCTCTCAATCTTCTCCCCACCACAACCACCCTGTGAGGTAGGTCAGGCTGAGACTGTTATGACTGGCCCAAAGTCACCCAGCTGGATCCATGGCTGAGCGGGGCCCTGAACCCAGATTTCCTGAGCACCAGGAGTAACAAAAAGCCATCAGGAGTTCCCTGTTCCTTTGGCCAACAGGGCAAAATCCCGCCCAGAGTTTTCCTGATTCCTCAGTTACTGGAACAGGCAGTGGATTCAGCACATGCCAAATGCAAACTTGGGGAACTAAACAAGTGTATCAAAAACAGAGGTGGAGGGCGCTAAAACAGGCAAGCTAAAAGGAATAACGGGGAATAAAAATGGGAGAATGGGACAGGGAGTTGGAAAGAAACAATTGTACAATTCAAAGCCAGGCAAGCACCCCCAAACCCAGGGCCTTGTTGGCTCACTTGGGCGAGAGAACAACTAAGCTAACCCCGACCTCAGCTAGACACAGAAACCCTACTCCAACAAAGGCAGGATCCGTAGGGTGTCACAGCATTCTCCCATACAGGGAGTACAAGGATTCCCCAGGAAGGAAGGAAGGAAGGAAGGAAGGAAGGAAGGAAGGAAGGAAGGAAGGACCTCTCTGTTCCCCAGCCTTTACCCCCCACCCCTGCTGCTCAGCTGACCCATCTCCCAGTCCTTGAAAACATCACAAGGGGAGGAGGATGCCTCCCAAGCCTTTGGGCACCAGGTTCTTGCTAAGCTGGCACCTGGATGTACAGCATTAACCCTTCCTTGGCTCCCTGTGGGTCCAAGAGCCGGTTCACGTCACACCAGTTGCGTGCTCTTAACCACTGCACTGCACCACACACAAACTGTACCTCTGTTGATGTCAGCAGGGCAAAGCGGTCTCAAGACCAGCCCTTCGCCTGGATCTGCAGGAGAAATGGCAGGGGAAAATGTCACGGTGTTCTGAGTCCAGTCCAGTCCCTGAAGGAGGCAAGGGTCATACAGGGGGGTGCTGTCGGCCTTTATCGTTGCTGCAGGCATCATGGCAGCTCAGGCTGGAACTGGCGCACTGAAACACAACTGCCATTAGCAAACTCCTTGCTGCTATTTTTAAACGTATGTACTGCTTTCCTGAACTATTCTGTAAATCACCACACTGTACTATCCACTTACTTTGTGTTCCTTAGAACAGTCTTCAGTGGCTTGATTCATTCACACATTAGCATTAACTCACGGTTTATTTAACCCCTGAGAAGCTGTGATACGTGAATCCAGCCGTGCTAACAAATCATGAGTTGCTGAAACCAGAGGTTGTCATTACACGTGAACCCAAAAACTGAGTTGTCCATGGGCTGCTTTGGCAGACTACAGAGATAGCTGCAAACTTAAAAACAAAAAACAGTACTGCTTTATGTATCAAAACTTCCTAACGGTGAAGTAAAGCTTCAAGGATTGAAAAAACAAACAAACCATGGTTTGCCTGCCAGACAACCCTCTCTCTTGATAGGCAACAAACTGCAGGTCAGCATTACACTTGCCTCCATTAAGGGAGAAACTGATAGTGTAATATTGTTAATTTGTTTTATATTTTTAATGTATTATATTTTAATTTATGTTGTGAGCCGCCCCGAGGCTTCGGCAAATGGGGCGGCATAGAAATGTTTTAAATAAATAGATAGATAGATAGCGATAGATAGATAGAAGACCCCCAGCAAAACATGTTAAGGAACATCTGCTTCACCGTTAACTTTTATCCCGGGCTAAGAAATGCTGGGCTAAAGGAACCCAGGGAAGATCATTTCAATTTTGGCAGAAAGATCACACTGAGATAGGCATGCTGATGCTCTTCAACCAGCCATCTATTCCTTATTTCGCTGACAGAATATAAATCTGTCTCTCTATAGATCTAGATACATAGCAAGGGAGGAAAAGAAAAAAAAATAGTGGTACAAGGCACCTTAATGTCTGTAATAGAACAAAGGTTAATGACATTAAAGTTATATTTACCTTTCCATCATAAGAAAACTTTGAACTAAAAGCAGGGAGGGTGGAGGCTTAGGTTACATAAACATTCCAGATGCAGTACAATCGTTACGATAATGAAGTCCATTATAATTTTCATTTTAGAAAAATAATCTTTCACAAAGCAAGGCCTACTGCAATATATTTTGAAGTTCATATTGTAATATTTGTGAGGAGAAATTTGCTGTCCAGAGAAAACAGAAATGCAAGCAGGGTTATGTTCAGCTACTGCCTAGTGCTATCATAGCTTCTGAGTAGACTATGAAATAGGCAGAAGCATTTCAACACTCTCCTCTTGCGTATCAGCAGGAAAAATCTCAGATGCACTGAAAAACCTCCAGCAGAGAGGTCACACACACCTGCTCAAGCCCAAGCCCAAGCCAACTCACTGCACTGACTGAGCTATTAATCAACGTACCACCTACAGCAGGGGTGACGACCCTTCAGCCCATAAGCCATGGTCAGCTTACAGGGCTTGGGTCTAGCCCACAACCTCCATTTTAGTGGGCAGGGTAAGAGGTAAGATGGTGGCGAGAAAGACAGCATGACAGAGGGCAGAAAGGAGAGGGCATATGTGATGCCCGTGAACCAAAGCACAACATAGTGACTTCTGTGCTCTAAACCACAGAACCATTATCTTGAGACCAGTAAAATTGGTGGACAGACTTCACTTTGCAGCCAATCAGTTGTTTTCTTGTTTAATCTTAGATTCTTAACAAAAGAAAAAAAAATCAAGAGGGGCAAGGAACCTGACAGGTGCCCAAAGGTACCTAAACAGTTGGACATGCACATGGTGGGCATGTCGTGAGCGGAGCCGGCTGGAGCCAGGGGTCAGACTAGATGGCCCGGGAGGCCCCTTCTGACTCGCTCTGTTTCTATGTTACATGGTAGAAACCTTTGCCCTAGACAGTTGTAAGTGCATGCAGCCCTTGGATGAAAATGGTGCTTCTTATTCCAAATCCAGAGGGTGCCAAATATAAAGGCCAGGATTCCAAGAGCCACATAACTAGTTCCACATGCCCAAACTGGTCTGGCATACACTCTGTCCACCTGCGCTACGTATTAAGCAACTTTTGAAAACAGGGATTCTTTTAAAAGCAGTTTATAATGTAAGAATAAAAGACGAGCCCTGATGGACCACACCAAATGCCCAGACCAAATGGAGTCCTCTTTAAGCCTGTCCGAACTGGTAGCCATCATTGCAAATTGTGGTGTGAAAATGAAATCAAAAGGGCATTCCATCATTTAACTACAGGGTGCCCCAAATGACTGACATCATTTCGTAGTCTAACAACACAGCCGATTCTCGCGCAAACGATCTCAAATTTTAACAAAATGTGTGCAAACTAACTAATGTTAGTTATGCAATGTTACGCAAGACACGCTAAGTGTGTTTGGCAGGAGGTGGACTACCGACTGGACTTGTGTCGCGTCACAGGCAGTGCACATATTGAACATGTGTGAAGCTTTGTGAAATCGGTTATAAAATCTACATCCCTTTGAATCTCGTTTGAATTTTGATAAATAAATGTTTTATTGTTCAACATGAAGCCTATTTAATTTCATTTGCCTAGGACATGTAGTTACTCAGATATTCACGTTTCAAATAATGTCAATTTTTTGGGGACACCCTGTACTATGGATTCCCCAGTGAACAAAGATGGTTGCTGGCTCAACCTAGCCAGATCCCCTCCATACTATATTTTTAATTTTTATTTGGTACGTTATTGTGTTGCCCTTCATGTCTTTAACTGTTGTGAACTGTCCGTTCGAGCTTTGGCTGTTGGGGGCTACAGAAATGTAATGAACAGATCTACATATTGTGTGAGAAGGTCTTATCTTTTATTTGTCCTGAAACAAATCATTCAGCTTCCCTGGATAATCCCTTTGGGTTCTAGAATTACACCATTTTATATACTGCTGTTGCTCATGTTTTTGCTAAGACAAGCAGTCCAAGACATCATTCCTAACAAGGCGACTTCTTTTCTTTTATAACTTTTCTTTTATAACTTCTTTTATATCGTTTATATTTTTTATTTATTTTATATTATCAATTTTAATTTTATATTGTTATTTTTGTATTGTATTGTATTTTATTGTGTTGTAAGCCGCCCCGAGGCTTTGGCAAGGGGCGGCATAGAAATGTTCTAATAATAATAACAACAACAACAACAACAACCCCCACTTCATGTTGTTGTCCTTTTCTGCACCTTTTCCAGCTGTACAATAAAGCTTTTTAAGGTGCAATGACCAGAATTCTGTCTTGTGCTGCCAAATATGGTCACACCATAGATTTGTGTAACAGACATGTGATACTGGCAGTTTTGTTTCACTTCATTTTCTGATGGTGCCCACCCTGGAGCCTTTTTCACAGCAGTCACACACTGGGTTGAGACCTTCATTGCACACATTTGTTCTCAAAATTTTTCTTGGACAGACTCCACTAACTCGAGGATAGGCTGGAAATGCACATGACAGGCATGTTGTGAGCGGAGATGGCTACAGCTGGGGGTCAGACTAGATGGCCCAGGAGGTCCCTTCTGACTTGCTCGGCTCCTATGTTTCTAACTCAGATCCCATCAGCACAAGTGGGAAATAAAAATTGTTTACTGGATGTGTATCACTTTAAATAGTCACTGAGAGTCTTTACAAGGAAAAGTCAAAATTCCTCAGGCCTTGCATAGAAGTTTTTCTGAAGGCAGCTGCTTTCTGTAACATTTGCAGCTCCACAGCACATGCCAGGCACATTCTGCTACCTTCTGGAATACTCCATCTCTGATCAGTGGTGGTTCTATTATGTCCAAATCTGAACACTGTAAGTTACCCATGCGTTAAATAACACAGTTAATCAAACTACTAACAGTTTAACCTACAATTAACCTATAGAGCCTTGCTTCCAATGTCATGTAGCTATTCCTGGGGAGGGGGGGAATATTCAAAATAGCCACAGAACACATCTGGCAAAATGTTGGTTAATAAACCCCCAATTTCCACAGTTAAATGTGAGCTGGGTTTTGACTTCAACATCTACTAGCATCTTGTTACCTTACCCAAAAATATGTTTTTATTTAGGCAACCTTTTGATATTTAGGCTGATTTAAAACTAGTTGGTTTGGTGCTGTTTATTTCGTTGAACTTTTTGCCAGATATTGCTTTTTGCTTTATTTTAGTTAAGATTCTGTTTTTAATCTGGATTTCAGCATTGGCTGCCTTGTTTGACACAAAGCTGGGATATAAATTTTAAAAAGCCAGAAATGAGAGGATCAATCAGCAGCATTTCCCCTTAACACATTTATTACAGGATAGGCATTTATCTCAAATTCCACTTAATCTGCAGAAGCAACTTCAGTTCAGGCCAGTGCTAGAACATAATATGGCGTGAAGAAATGTTTGCTATAATGTGGAGAAAGTAAATAAGGAAACAGCTTGTTTTTTTTCCCATTCTTCCTACTGCACCGGACACAAGTTCCGCTTTGCTTGACAGGTACAACACCTGACAGCAAAATGAGAATATATGAAAAAGAAAATCTAAGACTGAGAATGAGTCCCATTAGTCTAGCATTTTTTGTGATATCTCTACACACATAATGATTTTATAGATGAGTGATAAAAGGTCTTCGTAGATTCTCTGGTGCTTACCGGTCCTTTAAAGCTTTGTGGAAAAAATGAAATACACATGCTTCTCCAAGAAGCAACTTTTTGGGGGTGGGAGAAAAATTTTGCCTGATAGAGGTACCTCTGAAAGATAAATGCCACACAGCTTTCACTAATCCCATGCATCCTTTTCTCTGGTGGTCTCCATGCAAGCATGCGCCTGTTCATTGGAAGTCCAGCCCAGGTTCCCCTTCGCAGCTGGACCCCCGCAGATGCTGCTGCTCAAAGCCCCACTTCCAGCCCCTGAGGGCATTTCCATGCATTGGGCAGCAGCAAACCTGTTCGCCAGAAAACGTCCATTATATGGGGGCCCTGAGCCTGGCACTAACCGCACCTTTACGAAGGTTCAGGTGTGCACCTTAAAAGCAACGTGCAAGCCGGGCCTCCTCACCCGGAGGCCGCGCTGCCCTTTCAGAAAGGTCCCGCCGCCCGCCTGCCAGGGCGGAGGCTGCCACGCCAGGGGGGGGGGGCTGTGCCGCCCTGCCGACAGCCCCGCAAGGTAGGCCGGTGTGCCCGCAGAGGCGGTCTGGACACCGGTCCCCCGGTGCGGCGGGCGACGCAGCGCCACTGGCCGCGAGAGGCTTCGCGGAGTGGAAGGCACTCTGCACATGGCCAGGGGCGCTCCGCGGTGCGTCAGCACCCACACCGCGCGCTCCGGGGCTGAGCCCCCGCCACGCTCTGCGCGCCCCGGAGGCTCTTCCCGCCGCAACCGCCGCCCCCCAACCCGCGCGCGCGCCCCCCGCTCCCCCCAACGGGCCTCCTCTCCGCCGCGCCGCGCCGCGCGCCCCCCACTCACGCGCACGCCCTCCGTCCCGCGACGCCGGCTCAGCTTCCGAGAGCGCGCGCGCGCGAGCCCAAGCCGCGTTCCTCGACTGACGTGGCCACTAGGGCGGGGCGAGACTGTGCCGACCGGGCGGAGAGACTGGCCAATCAGGAAACGCGTTCCCTCTTCCTGCCCCCAACGGTCTGGGCTCATATCACTTGGCCCCACCCAATGACGCATGAATGGGTCTCTCGCGCGCGCATGCGCCTCTCTCTGAGTAAGAAAGGCGGGAAAATGACCGAGATTTAACGACCGCTCGGCTAGGCGCATGCGCACGGGCTGCCTCCTTTGCGCGCGGGAATGGGCCGTTGGTCTGCGGCCTCTCTCGATTTGCGAAGCGTGCCTCCCCTCAGTCGTCGTCTTGTTCTTCTTCATCAAATAAGTACATAAATAGCAAGGTTTTAAAAGTGCCTTGCAAAGTTACAGACAAGCACCCAGGTCCTTGTCCAGAGCAGCCTGCAATCTAAAATCTAAATACTTGTCTGGTTACAAGTATTTGACTATGGAGCATTTATATGCTGCTAACCATAACTAATTCCATAAGTAGTTTGCATACCAATTGCTATTGCAAAATAGTAATAGTACAATCACAATCAAAATGCACATTCTCCTCCTGCCAGAGATGGGGCTGGCATTTGGGGCAGGGGCTGGAGGGTAGAGGAAGACTCCTTGCTGGTGTTGCCAATTGAAGCACCCAGAAACACCCCAGAAGTAGTTGGCCAGAGGGAGGCCACATTGTAGAAACACCACAGTTATACTGCCCCAGAAGGGAGAGGGGATAAGAACAAAATGATCTTCGTGTAACCCACAGCTAACACACTAGCCTGACCTTGAATACAGTAATCAAAGGGGCAGTGGACACTGGTTGCAGCCTCCATGAAAGTTGCAAATGTGCAGGGAGTAAGAACATGGCAAGCCTGTGTGAATCTCGAGCAGATAAGAAATGTCCAGTCCTTGACAGAAGAAAGGACTCTTTGAAGCAAACAGCAAAGCATGGGGTGCAAACACTGATGTACTGATGCCTTAGATGTATGTTAGGTGACCTGATTGCTTATGTAGGGCATAAAAGGCATGTACTGAGGAGCAGCTTTTGAGACACTGCTTTGGGCTGCGTATCCCCTTTCGCCACCCTTTATTCTATAGTGCACTAGAATAAAGCTGGTTTGGCGCTAAGTCTCGTCTCAGGCTCCTTCAACTCGGGTCTGGGGTCCACCTGAGCTCGCCCCAAGCTGCTGACCAGCTGAGTTCGGGAGCACATCCTGGCCTATTCAGTACATATTCCCAAGAATAACTTCTTTAAAAGAACACCTTCCCCTGTTGTGTATTTTCAGCACAGGCACATCAGGACATGGACCTTTGGGGAGACAAATCCTGACCCTCCAACTCTCCTCAAACCCAGACCAGCCAATGCTGAGGGGCAGCTGATGGGAACTGTAGTCCAAAGCACATGGCAGGCCACACTGCCCAGCCCTGGCTTAAATCTCTCTGCCCCACTCTTGTATTGCCACTCTTGGTGGGAATGAGGAGAATTGCCCCATGACATCTCCCCACACCCCCCAATACACACACACACACAACATTCTCATTTCTTTCTGGGAGAAGAATAATTCTAATTAGAGATTCAAAATGTCTGCTCTGGTAGTGCGAACAACTCTGGCGCAATAGGGACAGATACACCACAATGCACATGGTGCCACCAAAGAGCTCCACTGAAACACCGGGCAGCGTGGCTGCCATCCTGTGCCAGTCATACCGGGCCACACGTTTGGATGCGGCGTATGGTACCGTCCCATGCTCTTAAGAACCATTCGGAGGAGGTGATCCAAGACTAGATGGGCAAAAAGTTTGACAGTGTTACATAGCAGCTTCTTCTGAGAGCTGCAATCAAACTCTCCAACAGGTTTTCTAAGTAAAAAGGAGGGCTTCCTCTGCCCCAGTGGGGCATGGTGAGGACTAGCACCATGGGTAGGCATGGTGGGGCGGTTGCCAAGGTCCAGGCTGGCCCCTCTGACAAGTGCTCTTCCGCTTCACCATGGCAACCTACTTGTTCTCCACCTGGATAGGGTAGGCAAAACTTGGGGCGATTTGAGTTGCTCCTTGGCTCAAACTAATCTTGCACTAGTTCAAACTACTTAAGTGCAGTTCTTAATGTTCCTGTTTAGATATTGGTTTAGGCTAAAGTTTAAGGGACGAGAGGATGGAGAAATTACGGCTACCTATCCTTAGCAGAAAGCTGAGGAGCAGTTTCTGGCAGTCCCAGCCAAAGATCAGTGGAGAGTCTCCCTGGGCCCAAGGGGTAGGAACCGGATGGAAAAATTAATCCAAGTAGGACGTGAACAAAATGCTTTATGAGCAAAAGGGCGACGTCTGAGCCTCAGTTGTGAATAAAATAAAATGGGGAAACTTGAACTGAGCTGCTCAGGAGCAAAGCATCCAGTCCCCAAAGACTAGATGACAAAGTCCAGCCTCCAAAACTGGCAAAGGCAGCATCCAAAATGCAGGGTGTAGCCAGAGCCAAAGATGCCCTCTTTTCTCAGTGGGAAGGCACACACGAGCATTGTGGCTCACAGTGGGGTTTGTGCAGTCTTTGTCCTTATCGGGAAGCAGGGACATTCTGGCCTCTGAGCTGCTAGTCGCATGAAGCAATGCACTTGTAACTTCTTCACACAATGGCCCTTGTTCCTTAGTGTGACTATAGTGTGACTATACGTGGTTGGCATGGCTGGCTTTTTGGTGCCTTTCAGACTCCTGGCAGCGCAAACTTTCTGCCCTCGAGGAAAGTCTTGTGAGCTGCATTTTATTCCCCACTCCATTCCACGGTTCCCAAAGAAACCCTCGTTCTCCAGCAACTGAGTCCCCAGACGGAGGCTTTTGCAAACAACAGAGCGACCCGATGGGTCAGATGCAGGGCCAGTCAGTCAGATATAGACCTAATCAGTTAATTACAAAGCAAGTGCTTGTTTCTTCATTGGATTTATCCCTCCCATGTCATTTTCATGTTTGCACTCTCTGTTATTTCCGCAGCCTCATGAGTCATCTTCCATTGCTATAGAAACACCCAAAATTATTCAGCTTCTGGTGGAGGCAATCCAGTATGAGTGTAGTAAGAAACCCAAACACTCTTTCTGGGCTGGGCACATCCGAAGAGCAGCTCTTGGTGTCAAGGTTTACGCTGAAATGTTCAAACTCCCTGGAAACAACAGGGCTCCAGGGATGCAGAGCCGCTCCGGCCCCAGTTGTGCTGTTGGCTCAGGGGTCTGGCTCGCACTGATGCTTCAGCTCACACATCCTGGTGCTCCTCAAACAGGATGCGCAACCTTTGATGCCCCCCACTTTTGGAATGAACTCCCCACTGAGGCCCACCTGGCACCAACTTTTGGCACAGGGTAAAGACTATCCTCTACCGTAGGGCATTTAATTCATTCCTGGGCCTGCTCGTTGTTAGACAGGGTTTAACAGGGCTTTTCTCAACCCAGTATTATTTTTTCCTGTTTTAAATTCTGTTTCCGTATTTGCCCTCCCACCCCGTGAGATCGGCAGCAGAGGCCCTTCACTGGGAATCCTCCGTGAAAGATATTAGGAGGATAAGTACTCGGAGAAGGGCTTTCTCTGCGGTGGCGCCCCATCTGTGGAATGCGCTCCCCAGAGAGGTCTGCCTGGCGCCATCGTTATTTTTCGGCACCGGGCTAAGACCTTTTTATTCCAACAATATTTTAATAACTTTTAATATTAGCTATATTTGTTTTAATCTGCAGCCAGGGTGGATCTGGAATTTTATTAGTATCATGTTTTATATTATTATTCTTATTTATTTATGTAAGCTGTCCAGAGGCTCTGCAAATGGACGGCATATCAATATTCTAAATAAATAAATACATAAAATTTGGTTTTACATTTTGTATTGTTAACTTTTATGAAATTTTACTATGTTTTAATGCTGTATCTTATATTTTTTTAATGTGTAAATCAGTGAATAAATACTACAGGCGGAGGAAGAGCTATCGGTAGTAGGACTGCTGGAGTGGGGTGGGAGAAGAGAAGCGTATCAGCCAGTGGTGGAGGTGGACGTGCTTGCAGCTGCGATGGTGCAACTGGTGGGAAATTATGGAGTTCTGGTCCTGCAAGGACCCCTGGGCTACGGGACATGTGCCTGTGCCAAACAACCCTTTTGTAAACAGGGCACTTCCTGTCCTGGGGTGTGAGGTCCCTGGGAGAAAAAGCCCGCAGCCTTATCTGCAGAAATCAGATAAATGTGCGATTTGTTTCAAAGCACTTGGAACCACCTGCCACTGCCAAGCTGCCATTAAAAGTACGGAAGGAAGGTCTCTCGAGGAAACGCAGGTGGCTAAATTCTCCTGTTTCAAGGAGGACTGGAAATGCACCTCTGCCAGGCTCTGAGAAAGTGCTCTTGCCCCCCCCCCCCGAGTACCTGAGGGCTTCAACACAGTTTGTTTCATTTATTACATGTATATCCCACCATTTTCCTTCCAAGGAACTCAAGGCAGCTCGCATGCTTCTCCTCCTCCTCCTTGCGAGCTTTTCCTCACGACCAGAACCCTGTGAGGCAGCCTGGGCCGAGAGTCCATGCCTGGCCCATAACTCACCCAGTGAGCTCCAGGGCTGTGTGGGGATTCAAACCCAGACTGCCCACATCCCGGTCTCGTACTCTTCATCGCTGCACCACAGTGGCTCTGCCCTGACACTTGTTTTTGCAGGGGGTTCGAATTGCTCCCACCACACCTAAAACCTTTCCCCTGTCTTTACCCTAGGAAAAATGGCTGGGGAGGCAGCTAGGCAGAACAAGCAGGGGGAAGATGTCCGGCGTCCTCCTTCCGGCCAGCCCTCAGCCCCCCGCCCCGTGCGGACGGCTCATCCGGATGCGAGTTCTGAGCCCATCGCCCACGGCAGGGTGGGGATCGGTGCTGAGCATCCTCACCCTGAACGCCCCTGTGAATCAGTGTTTTGTCATGGGTCAGATGACCAGCAGAGGGGGAACCGGCTCCTGCTCACACTTGACATCAGAGGCTGTGTATGAAACACACCCAGTTCTGTAAGCAGGG